CGACCAGAGCACTGGGAGGCCGCTAAGAGGGTGTTGCGCTACTTGTGCAATACAACAGGCATAGGGATCGTGCTTGGAGGATGGAGTCACGTTGTCCTCACTGGACACTCAGACACCTCTTGGGTTGACGACTTGGCTATGCAGCGGTCGTCACAGGGTTACACGTTCAGCCTTGGCTCCGGCTCTGTTTCTTGGCGGTCTACCCACTCGTCTTCTGTTCTCAGCTCCAGTTGTGAGGCTGAGATCTACGCCACATCCATGGCTGCACAGGAGTTACGCTTGCTCACCTACCTGCTGACCGACTTGGGAGAGCGGCCTCGTTCTCCTCCAGTTCTGTACGTAGACAACAAGGCCGCTATTGCCTTGTGTCGGGAGCACAGACTGGAGCACAGAACGAAGCACATCGCTTTGCGTTCTTTCCTTGCTCGAGAGTTGCAACAGCGTAGTCAGCTTCGTCTTAGTTACGTGGCCATTCGGGCTTCACTATTGAGATTGAGAGTACAAATAAACAAACAGCAACACCAGGAGGTGCATGATCAAGCATGATGCAATAACTACACTACAATTGCAAACGATTATATAAAATATGTAAACATATTTTTACAATGTTTGCTCTCTTCTATATAGCTTTGCATGTGAACTGGCCTTTTGGCCATTTGCTTGTCAACAAAATGTGTGGTGACTTCGTGATCCACCCTGAGCTTGCTTTGCTCTTCTTGACTGGTCTTGTAACCACCATTTCTCCCCCACTTTGCCTTTGAGGGTGTGTCAAACTACTTCGTTGTTTGTGCTGTGTAGGCTGTAGTGGGGTAGCCCATGTCAAGAGCCTAAGTTGACTTAGGACTTAGGTTGAGGGTAGAACGAGAGTTACGAGAGGAAGGGGTCGAGAGATTTGCCAAAAGAGGTTGTTCACTATAGAGCAAACAGTACAAATAGGCAAGCAAAAGCAAGAATGGTGCACCACCAACTAGAAAGGCTATAACTACAGTACCCAATCCTACAGGCAGTTACATATAGAAAATATTAACTTATATTTTCTGACACACCCCCATAACTGGCTGTAGGAGATGAGTATGCAGCTAGCGCCCCCTGAAAGGGTACACCACGATTGCGCAGCGAAAATCGCAGCAACAAGTAAGTGCAGTGGCAACCACTGCAGTGGTGGCAGATCCAGCTGTACCAGACCCTCGGGCAAGGCAGAATCAGTAGCAGGTGTAGGGGCGGCAGGTCGCCTGAGGAGCAGGCTCTGTGGCTGCAACGTGCAGCAGGACAGCAGCGGCTCGACGGCAGCACCTGCAGGCCCCAGCAGCAGGTGTTGTGTGATGCAATCATATGCATTCACGTCTGTCTGCCTCCCATCATGTATTCGTACATTGCATGCGTGGTGTGAGCGTGTGCAAGAGTTTGTGTTTTGTGCGGTTTGGATTTCCTGAGTGTGTGTGAATGTTGTCATTGGAATTGGGCAGATATCTGAAGTGACTTCTCTGCTCAAGAGCTTTCCGACGGTCCAAGAATCGTCGCAATCGGAGCAAGAACAAGAAAGTTACGAACGTTGGAGTTCGTATGCTTTCTGTACTTCGGTTGCGGTGACTGTGGGAAGGTGTGGGGTTGACTTTATATGGGTTACAGACTTTTGGGGTTGGGAAATTCGGTCCCATCACTGTAGATGCTGCCATGTGGTTGGGAGAAGCCAAACCAGGTTGGCAAGTGTGGCCAAGTTGGGTTGAGGTGGATTGTGGAGGTTGGGATTTTGACAAAGGTCAAAGTTGGGTTGCCTATGGGGAAGGGAATTGTGTGGTATGGGGTTTCCTTGGTTGGGGACTCCCTTGGGACCTTCCCTCTCATCCTCCTCTTCCCTCCTATCTGTTTTCTAGCTACTCTATCTTCCTTGTGTGTAACTTGAGAAATGAGTTGATAGTGATAAAGTTAAGATTCTGTGGCAGCTTACCCCCTAGTGCGCCGAGACTGATAACTCAAGATCTACTTCACTTTTTTGTGCGATTCAAATTGGGAAATGTAGTCACGGTCTTTTTTGGCGCACTTTCAACGGTGAACGTTTCGTCGATGGCGTTTCTTGTAAACACGACTTTTCTGTCCAGAAACTAGGACCAACGATTTTGTGTTATTTCGGCCCCTAAACGTCATAGACTCCGTCCTGAATCTCTAACAAGTGGTATCAGAGCTGATTGAGGACGTTGTGAAGAGTCTACTGAAGTGTGAAGACCCTCTTAGACCCACCATGGCCTGTGGGCGTGCCTAAGTGGAGCTCTGGAGGTTGGGAGTGACTTCCGCTAAGGGGAAACTCTGCCGAAATTTCGTTGGCGACAACACTTGTGAAGATCTTGTGGATCTACATTGTGACCAGCAAAGGGGGAGCTGAAACCTGTAATTGGGAGCTGAAGAGATAAGTGGAGAAGCAGCTGATAAGAAGAGTGAACCGCCACCGTCCAAGATCGAGGCTTTGGACGGCTCCAACTATGAGGAATGGAGCGGGCGGATGCGGAGCGCTTTCAAGCGCTACAAGCTGCTGAAACTCGCGATGGGAGAAGAGAAGATGCCCGAGGAAGGAGATGCTCGGGATCGGTGGATTGAGCGGAGCGCGGTGCTGTACGACTTGATTCTACAGTCGGTCAACAACGACATGTTCCAGCACATCAAGGATTTGGTGGAGCTCTACGACTCGGGACCGAAGGCGTGGAAATTACTGCGCGATGTGGTTCAGCCTAACACGCTGCCGATGGTGATTGTGTTGGAGAAGGAGCTGGCTGCCCTCTCCATGCGGCCGGGAGACGATGTGAAGCCGGTGCTTGACAAGATCAAGGACACCTATGCGAGGATGGCAGCGGCGGGCAGCAAGGTGTCAGAGATGCAGCAGTGCACCAAGATCATCTCGGTGCTCGACAACTCGTGGGACAACCTCATCCCCACCCTCAACGTTCAGCAGGACAAGTGGACGCCTGAATGGCTACGGCAGCAGATCCTGCAGGAGGACTTCCGCAAGCGCCACACGGGAGGTGGTGCTGCCAACAAAACTGCTGAGGGGTATGGAGCTGCAGGAGGCAGCAGAGGAAGAGGGGGAGGGAGAGGCCGAGGCCGTGGGAGAGGCTTTGGCAGAGGAAGAGGCCGAGGTGACTACAATGAAGGGCATGGGAGCTCTGGTGGCAGGGGGAGCACCCGAATGGAGGGTGCGTGCTGGTAGTGCAAGAAGGCTGGACACCCTTGGTTCAAGTGTTTCAGCCGGCCTGAAGGATGGGCGCCTCCAGGCATGAAGCCGCCAAGTGGTGAACGCGCACGAGGTGGCGCTGTGCAAGGTTCTGGTGCACAAGGTGATGGTGCACAAGGTAAAGCCGACCCTGGGATGTTCCTCATGGTTGAGGATGTGAAAGAGAGTGAGGATGATGTGGGTTCAGTTGGGAAGGTTGTGATGCACCCCCTCACTCACTGGGTGATCGATTCTGGTTGCACGAGTCACATGACTCCGCGGGCAGATTTGCTTGATGAGGTGAAACCCCCTGGGAAGATCAAGTTTGTGGCTGCCGCTTCAGGTGCTTTGCTCCCTGTGATTGGTGTTGGGAATGCCAAGGTGATGGGAGCCAATGGGGGACTTGTGGGGCTTGGGAATGTCCTACTTGTTGAAGGCTTGTCCGCTAACCTCCTCTCTGTGCGCCGACTGCAGAAAAGCAAGGCCAAAGTTACGTTCGGCCCAACCAGTTGTCGTGCAAAGCTTGGAAAGTTGCTGCTGTGGGATTTGGAGGAGAAGAGCAGCTGCATCAAGGACCTGTGGCAGCTGCCCATCATCCCTTGGAACGGGAAACCACCAGCAACGGCAACGGCAGCCGCAGTGGCAAAAGCAACAATTGGAGGAGAGGTGACTGCACCAACTGCTGGGGCCCTGGATGCAGTCAAGAAGGTGCAACAGCCACAGCAGCCACATAGTGAGGTGCTTGCTGGTGTGGATGCAACAGCTGCATGGGCAAAGGCTTCATCTGGGAGTGGTGAGGCCGATTGGGAGACGTGGCATGAGAGGTTGTGCCACATTAACATCCTGATGCTGCAGAAGTTGGTGAAGGATGGGAGCTTGAAGGGGTTGGAGGTGAAGGGTGCTGCAAAGGAGATTGGGAGCTGCCCTACGTGCCTTGAGACAAAATTCACCAAGTTCCCTTTCAGCAGCAGCACGGGACCAGCCAAGGCTCCACTTGCACTTGTGCACATGGATGTGGTGGGCCCCACGAGGGCCCTTTCTCTCTCAAGCAGCCGCTATTTCCTTACCATTGTGGACGACCACACGCGTGCGGTGTGGGTGTACCCTCTCAAGACTAAGGGGGAGGTGGCAGCGGCTGTTCTTAAGGAGTGGATGCCGAGAGCTCAAAGGGAGAGCGGACACAAGGTGAAGGTGATCCGCACCGACAATGGGGGAGAGTTCATTGGTGCTGATTTTGAGGCGGTGCTGAAGAAGAAGGGGATTCAGCATCAACTTACAGTGCCCTACAACCCTCAGCAGAATGGCGTGGCTGAGCGGTTCAACCGGACCCTGCAGGAAGGTGCTCGCACTCTCCTTGGGCGTGCAGGGCTGCCGGATCCGTTTTGGGTGACTGCACTGAGGCAGGTTGCTGTTGTGAAGAACAAGGTGCTGGCGACAATGGGGGACAAGCAATGGGTCCCCTACACCAAGTGGTACGGGAGTGCACCAGCAGTCAACATGCTGAGAGCCTATGGCTGCATGGTGGTGTTTCATGTGCCGAAGGAGAAGAGGGGAAAGCTGGAAGCTTCTGGGAGATGGGGTGTTGATTTGGGACTTGCTTAGGATCACAAGGGCTGCCAGCAGCTAACTGTGTCGAGGGATGTGAAATTCCTCGAGTCCTTGTACTACAAGGAGTGGAAGCAGCAGCAGCAAAAGCTTCCTACTACGCCGCTGATCATTGAGGCCGATGAGGTGCAGCGGCCTTCGAGGCAGGTGGAGGTTTCTGTCTCTAAAAAGGAGATCTCTGGGGTGACTGAGGATGGGGGAGAACCTGAGGTGGAGGAGCAGCAGCAGCAGCAACAGCAGCAGCAGCACCAGCAGCAGCACCAGCAGCAGCAGCAGCAGCAGCAGCAGCAGCAGCAGCAGCAGCAGCAGCAGCAGCAGCAGCAGCAGCAGCAGCAGCAGCAGCAGCAGCAGCAGCAGCAGCAGCAGCAGCACAGCAGCAGCAGCAGCAGCAGCAGCAGCAACAGCAGCAGCAGCAGCAGCAGCAGCAGCAGCAGCAGCAGCAGCAGCAGCAGCAGCAGCAGCCGCAGCAGCAGCAGCAAGGTGCTCCACAAGGTGCCGCACGTTCGGCTGACCGTCCTAGGAGGGATGTGCGCCCTCCTAACCGGCTTACCTATCCGAGCTTTGGGAAACCAGGCGTGGTACAGGCTGGGAGTGTGGCTGAGCAGTGTGATGAGGAGGAGATAGCGCACTGCTATTGGGCAACCGTCCCTGAGCCCAAGACACTTACCGAGGCCTTGAGTGGGCCCGATGCTGAGAAGTGGAAGCAGAGTGTGAAGGAGGAGTATGACTCTCTGCTGGAGAACGAAACATGAGAGTTGTGTGAGCTACCTCCTGGGAAGAAGGCAATCTCTTCGAAGCTGATTTTCAGGCACAAGTATGGACCTGATGGGGAGCTGACCCGCTACAAGTCAAGGCTTGTGGCTAAGGGGTTCCAGCAGACAAAGGGCAAGGACTTTGACAACATCTTTGCTACTGTAGGTAAAGGGACTACATTGAGGACGATGTTGGCAATGGCTGCAAACCGTGGATGGAAGATCAAGCAGATGGACATCATCACTGCCTTCCTCAATGGGATCATCCTGGAGGAGCTGTACATGCTGCAGCCTGAGGGGTTGGATGATGGGAGCGGCAGGGTGTGCAGGCTGAAGAAAGCCATCTATGGCTTGAAGCAGGCTCCTCGTGCATGGTACCACAAGCTGGAGGAGACACTGCTGGCTGGGGGATTCAAGAAGAGCGAGTGCGACCACAGCCTGTTCCTGCTGCAAGAGAAGGAACTGTTCCTCATACTCCTGGTGTATGTGGATGACATCCTGCTCTTCTCTGAGTCGTCTGCAATGATTGAGCGTGTGGAGGAGATGCTGGAGATGCAGTTCAAGTGCTCAAAGATGGGAGATGTGGATGCATGTGGAGAGGGACCTTGACAAGGGAGTGTTGAGGTTGCACCAGAGGAAGTATTGTGAGGGGCTGGCCGAGAAGTATGGGCTGCAAGATGGAGGGAAGCCAGCCACCCCACTGCCTTCGGGGTTCACTGTGGAGCCCTGTGCTGATGAGGAGGTGGTGGGGGAGAGTGACAGGAAGCTGTTTCATTCCATGGTTGGGGCACTCAACTACGCAGCTAACCACGCGCGGCCTGACATTGCCTTTGCTACATCCAGGCTTGCGAGTGTGGTTTCACGCCCCAGTCATGAGCAGCTGGAAGCGGCCAAGAGGTTGGTCCGCTATGTGAGCGCTACAGCATCAGTGGGCTTGGAGTACAGTGCTGTGCGACAGAGGCTGCAGAGGGGTGCAGCTTCCTTGAGCAAGGGGGAGATGATCTTGACCTGCTACACCGACGCTAGCTTCAACTCAGTGAAGTCGGATGGCACCAGCATTGGAGGCTATGTGTGCCTCTTTGGAGGTGGTGCAGTAAGCTGGCGCAGCAAGAAGCAGAACGAGGTGGGGCTGTCCTCGTGTGAGACAGAGTACATGGCCCTGCATCATGGGGCAAAGGAGGTGGTGTGGCTGAGGCGTTTGTTGGAGGAGATTGGAGTTGCTCGGAAGGAGCCGACTGTGATTTTCTGTGACAACGAGTCAACAGTGAAGCTGGCCAAGAATGCTTGTCTTCATGGGCTGACCAAGCACATCAGGCCCAAGTGGCATTGGACAAGGAGGCTCCTGGATAAGGAAGTGCAACTGGAGCTTGTAAAAACCCAGCAACAGGCGGCTGACATTCTCAACAAGCGCCTGCTGAATCTGAGCATTGGAAGGGGATGAAGCTTGCTGGAATGAGTGTGCATTGAGGGTGCATGCTTGAGCTATGGCATGTGGGATGATGGTTGGCAGCCAAAGGGGGAGTTTGTTGTGTGATACAATCATATAAATTCACGTCTGTCTGCCTCCGATCATGTATTCGTACGTTGCATGCGTGGTGTGAGCGTGTGCAAGAGTTTGTGTTTTGTGCGGTTTGGATTTCCTGAGTGTGTGTGAATGTTATTTGAATTGGGCAGATATCTGAAGTGACTTCTCTGCTCAAGAGCTTTCCGACGGTCCAAGAATCGTCGCAATCGGAGCAAGAACAAGAAAGTTACAAACGCTGGAGTTCGTATGCTTTCTGTACTTTGGTTGCAGGGTGGGAAGTTGTGGGGTTGACTTTATATGGGGTACAGACTTTTGGGGTTGGAAAATTCGGTCCATTACTGTAGATGCTGCCATGTGGTTGGGAGAAGCCAAACCAGGTTGGCAAGTGTGGCCAAATTGGGTTGAGGTGGATTGTGGAGGTTCGGATATTGACAAAGGTCTAAGTTGGGTTGCCTAAGGAGAAGGGAATTGTGTGGTATGGGGTTTCCTTGGTTGGGGACTCCCTTGGGGCTTTCCCTCTCGTCCTCCTCTTCCCTCCTATCTGTTTTGTAGCTGCTCTATAACTACAGTACCCAATCCTACAGGCAGTTACATATAGAAAATATTAACTTATATTTTCTGACTGCCCATAAGGGGTACAACTCAAATTAGAGTTACCCATTTCTCTGCTCAAAGCATTCATTTTAGCTTACTCTCTTGACATTGTCAGCAAGTCAGCCACGCGTCAGCTGGACGGTCAACACGCATGTATACACCGTCAGATCAATTTCAATTGAAAATTTGCAGTTGTCACGCTACTGCAAGACTCGCCTACGTTATAAGAGAGTCATATTTACCGGAAGAAGGAAGGGTGTAATGAATGTATATATTATTACTGAGTCTGTTCCTAAGGCGTACAGCCCCGAGCACTTCGCGTCAGTTTCGGGACGTGTCACGTCACCTTTCTTCAAACCCAGCCCCGACCCTACGTATGGATAAACGGGAAACAAGACTCGACGTGAACGCCGGAAGGGTTGCGTAGAAGATATATTTTTGTCGTATGAAAACATGAGGTGAGGAATGCTTGATATTACATGTACGTTACTTAGAGCAAGGGACAAACTATGTTATTCCTCTTTATAACAGGTTGTTAGTTCCTCATCTTGTTCTTCCAATTCCTCATTATTAACGATGGGATTTTTTTGAATATTTATATGATAATTGTTTTGTAGCAGTAATTTATGTAGGTACAAATTGCACTATCATATGATTTACTGGGTTTGTTTATAATTCTAGCTAATCCTTATGTGTCAGCTAGGTGGATCGCGTGTTTGTACGAGTGTCGTCACGTGACACTGGGTTCCAAATCTTGTCTGTGTGTTTGTTTTTTTCGGAATACAATGTGCCCGGGTACCTTGCAATTCGCCCATCGTCCTTGTACTGTACTATACTCTGATTGTAAGAAACTGTTCAGGTAGAGAATTCTCATGCCAGCGCCACACAATCCAAACCAACCCCAAAAATTCCTTCCCTAGGCAGTCTCGTCTAGGTTTCTTGAATTCAAGCACCTGCTCTACTCTAGTCTCGGTGCTTTTCCCAACCCAGCCGTCGATTATCCTGCCATCGCCACTCCCTATCAGCTATCTGTTTTTAGTCATTACAACAACCTGCAGTTGCCTCTCCTCACTCCACCGTCCCCTCTCCTCAATCCCCACCGTCGCCTCTCCCTCGCTCCCCACCATCGCCTCTCCCTTACTCCCCATCATAGCCTCTCCCTCCCTCCCCGCCGTCGCTCTCCCTTCCTCTTCACCGTCGCCTCTCCCTCCCTTCCCGCCGTCGCCTCTGGTGGGTGCACGAGCGCGAGCGCGGGTTGCTGCACGACCGCGCGTTTTGTGAGGCACCGTCGTCTTAGGTGCGTTTCCGTTTCTCGGACCTTTTTTCCTCGCTCCTCCCTCCGAAATTTCATATTTTCTCTACTTTCTTTGTAAGTTCTTGTTGCCGATTGGTGATTAGCTCGCTGGCGCCTAAGGCGCTGGCGCCTAACGCGCTGGCGCCTAATACGCTGGCGCGTAGCGCGCTGGCGCCTAGCGCGCTAACGCCTAACGCGCTGGCGCCTAACGCGCTGGCGCCAAACGCGCTGGCGCTGTCAAACATTATACATGTTATATTTGTGTAGGCTATAGTGGGTTAGTCTATAGGGGGGTCACAACTCTAGGGTTTCCTATTTGTACTCTCATTCCTTTCTAGTCCAACAACACTTGTTCATTCTAACATGGTATTACGAGCCTAGGTTAGGCACCTAGGACCGCCTACTACTACGGGCCCACCGTTCCGTTAGAAGCGCCCTCGTGCGCCTCGTCTCACTCGCGCCCTCGTGCGCCTCTCTCTACTCGTGCGCCCTCGTGCGCCCTCGCGCCCTCGTGCGCCTCTCACTACCGCGCGCGCGCATCTTGCTAGCCACCCGCGCGCGGCCCGCTTTCCGTACGGGCAGCCCGCTAGCCACCCGCGCGCGGCCCGCTTGCCGTGCGCGCGACCCGCTAGCCGCCCGCGCGCGGCCCGTCAGCTCCCCGCGCAGCCAGTGCCGCTAACGCGCGGCCCGCCGCGGCCTTGTGCGGCCCCGCGCGCAGCCCGCGAGCTGCTCGCCGCCTCGCGCTGCCGTCGCTCGCACGCAGGCCGCAGCCTCGCGCACCCGCCGCCCGTACGCAGGCCGCAGCCTGCGCGCCGCAGCTGCCCGCACGCCGGCCGCCTCTACGCAGCTGCCGCCCGCGCGCAACTGCAGCCCGCGCACAGCCGCAGCTGCTCGCACGCCGGCCGCCTCCGCGTAGCTGCCGCCCGCGCGCAACCGCAGCTTACGCGTCGCTGCCGCCCGTGCGCAGGCCCCCAGCCGAGCCGCGCAGCCCGAACCGAGCCGCGCCGCCCTAACTGAGCCACGCGCGCCCTGCCTAGAGGCCCCGCCGGCCCCGTCGTCCTCGCAACTGCTGATACTACTACTGCTACTCCTGCTACCACTACTGCTGCTACTGCTACTGCTACTGCCACTATGGCTGGTCCTCCTGTACTCGCTTTCGATGCTGAGGGCCGCCCAGTGAAGTTCGACACCTGGCTAGATGACCTGCACCTCTTCCTACAGCTCACTGCCAAGGAGGATATTTCACTGTACGATCATGCCCTCGGTCACGCTACTGTCAAACATTATATGTGTTGGTTGTTGTTAGGCTACAGTTGGTTAGACCATATGGGGTACAGATCTCTAGGGTTTACTATTTGTACTGCCTTCCTTGTTAGTTCAGTCATTCCAGTCTGTTATTACGACATGGTTTCAGAGCAGGTCCTTCTCTAGGACCGTTCCTAAGGGCCCACCGTTCGCTACCTAACTACCTACCTACTACCGGAGCGCGTTCTTAGCGCCTCCCCCGTAGCGCCCTCGAGCGCTTCATTATTATTTTTTTTTTTTTCGGCCCCGCTGGCCCCGTCGATCGAGCCCCGTCTAGAGGCCCCGCGGCCCCGTCGCATTTGACCTAGAGGCCCCTCACGGCCCCGTCGCGCCGCCCCTTAGCGCCTCGAACGACCCCGCCGCTCGCCCCTTAGCGGCCCCGTCGGCCTTGCGATCGCCCCTAACGGCCCGCGCACCGCCCGCTACCGGCCCGCGCACCGCGCACGCAGCCCGCATTTTACCCCCGCGGCCTGCGTGCTGCCCGCTGCCGGCCCCGTCGCACTGCCCGCGCACTGCTCGCACGCCTTTGCGTCGCTAGCGCACAGCCCGCCGCGGCCCCGCCGGCCCGCGATTTGCACCGCTGCAGCTGCCGCCCGCTTGTCCCCCGCTGCTGCTGCCGCTGCTGCCCGCGAGTCGCCCGCTGCCGCTCCCGCGTTTCTGCCGTGCCCGCAGCCGCTGCCGCCGCTACTACCGCCCGTGCACTGCTGCTGCCGTACTCGCTGCCGCCGCCGCAGCCGCTGCCGTGCGCCGCTATTGCCCGTCGCCTGCTCGCGCACGCCCTGCTGCCCGCAGCCGCTTGCACGCCGCTGCTTCCGCTGCTGCTTGCGTGCCGCTGCCCGTGCGCCGCCATTGCCCGTGCGCCACCGTTCCCCGTGCGCCGCTGCCGCCCGTGCGCTTCTGCAGCCGCCGCCCGCGAGGCACTCGCTCTCACTGCTGTTTATTTACTACCTACCGCGCACACTGCTACCACTACAGCTACCACCAGTGCACCGTTGCAGCTCCTGCTGCCACGCTACCTACTATTGCCGCTCGTGTGCCACTACGGACAGTCGACCCCGCCCGCGCCTTACCTAGCGGCCCCGCCGGCCCCGTTGACCCTCCGCACACCTTTCCAGCGGCCTGATTCCTACTACTACTGCTACTGCTACTGTCGCTATGGCTAGTCCTCCCGTTCTAGCTTTCGATGCCGAGGGCCGTCCGGTGAAGTTCGAAACCTGGCTAGATGACCTGCACCTGTTCCTACAGCTCACTGCCAAGGAAGATATCTCACTGTACGACCACGCCCTAGGCCATGCCACTGCCCCTGACTCGACTGCTGACAGCACTCTGCATTCGTAGTGGCAGACCCGTGATGCGCATGCTCGCTTTGCTATTCGCAACTCCCTGCCGCTAGACGAGCGCGAGCACTTCGGCCAGTGCAAGACTGCTAAGGACCTCTACACCGCTGTAGTTGCCCGCTACTCCTCACCCGCTTCTGCCACGCTAGGCCGCCTCACTCTCCCCTACCTGTTCCCCGACCTAGCCTCCTTTCACACTGTCGCAGACCTCATCACCCACCTTAAGACTAGTGAGGCCCGCTTTCGCGCTGCTATGCCTGCCGAGTTTCTCACTAGCAACCCCCCCCCACTCTGGATCACTCTCTACCACATCGTCACCCGCCTCCCTGACTCTCTGTGCGCAGTCAGGGACCACTTCCTCTCTCGCTCCCCCACTGAGCTCACCATTGCCCTCCTCGAGAAGGAACTGCTTGCAGCTGAGACGAGCATCGTCGCTGTAGGCACCTCTCGTGGCGACCCCCGCACCCCGTTCTTTGAGGGGTGTTCCCCTTCCCCCCTCCTCCCCTCTGTCGCCTCTGCTGCTGCTGTCGACCTTCTTGGTGCTGAGAAGGTCGGGACCGCGTCTGCTTCGAGCGGGCGCCGCAGGAACAAGGGGGGCAGGGGTGGGGGTGGCGGCGGAGGAGGTGGGGGTGGAGGCGGTGGGAGTGGAGGCGCGGCTGGGGAGACTAGTGGCGGCAGTGGGGGAGGAGACAGCAGCGGTGGGAGTGGTGGTGGAGGCGGCAGCGGAGGCGGAGGTGGTCGTGGCGGCGGCAGGGGTGGAGGTGGCCGGGGCGGCGGCGGTGGGGGTGGTGGTCGTGGAGGCACTGGCGGAGGCCCGAGTCAGCAGCCCGCCCCGACGCTTCAGGCCGCCCGTGAGTGGTATGCGCAGCGTAGCGTTACCTGCACGTACGTCATTCGCACAGGTGACCGCAGCGGCCAGCAGTGTGGGAGGCCACACCCCACGCAGCGCTGCTTCGCGCGCCTTAACGACGCGTGGCGCACTCAGTTTCCTGCTGCCACTGAGCTGCCGCGCTGGGCTGATCTGGAAAAGAGGGGTGTTGATATTTGGGCTTTAGACTTTGATGCTATTCTCACTGCCATGTATGCGATGTCTATTAGTGGAGAGGGTGCTCAGTACTTGCGTGTTCCGCCGACCCGGGCATTCAGGCCAGTCCGGCTGCCGCTCTAGGTGCCAGTGCGTCTGCTCCCACAGGTCCTGGTGAGGCTGCAGCCCTAGGTGCTCGTGCGTCCGTGCCCCCTCGTACTGAGTCGACTGCAGCACTGCACACCTTCACACTAGACTCAGGTGCTTCTCGCTCCTTCTTTCGTGACCGCACTGTCCTTGAGCCACTCGCTCGGCCAGTTGCTGTCTCCCTTGCTGACCCCTCTGGGGGTCCGGTCATTGCGACCTCCTCCACTGTCCTTCCTTGTCTTGCGGTCCCGTCCGGCACGCTGTCAGGTCTCTACCTCCCCTCGTTCTCTACGAACTTGGTGGCAGGTAGTGCGCTCCAGGACGGGGGTGTTCACCAGTTCACCCCTGCCTACGAGCGCGTGACACACTGCACGTGTGCTCGGACGGGTCGCCACCTGGCTACCTTCACTCGGGAGCCGGGGTCGGACCTTTACACACTGACCACTGAGTCCCCTCAGGTAGCTGCGTCCGCGTCTGCGTCTGCGTCAGGTCAGCTGTCCGCCCCCTGCTCGTGTCGCTCTCTGGCGCATGAGACTGTCCTTTGGCACCACCGCCTTGGTCACCCGTCTGTGCAGCGCCTTCGGGCCATGCACAAACGGGACCTTGTTGCTGGTCTTCCCAGGGTGCTCCCTCCCCTTCCCGACTCGCCTGCTCCTCCCTGTATTCCCTGTGTCGAGGGACGGCAGCGCGCCGCTCCTCACTCCTCCTCCTTTCCCCCGACGACTGCTCCCTTGCAGACGCTCCACATAGACGTGTGGGGCCCAGCCCGCGTCCGTGGTCAGGGTCAGGAGAGGTACTTCCTGATTGTTGTTGACGACTTCTCGCGCTACACCACGGTCTTCCCCTTGCGCGCCAAGGGTGACGTCCCTGATGTCTTGATCCCTTGGATCCGCAGATCTCGTCTCCAGCTCCGTGAGCGTTTCCGCTCCGACTTCCCTGTCCTGCGTCTGCACTCTGACAGAGGTGGGGAGTTTTCCTCTGGCCTATTGGAGGCCTTCTGTCAGCAGGAGGGCATTGAGCAGTCGTACACGCTTCCGGCCTCTCCACAGCAGAATGGGGTTGCTGAGCGCCGCATTGGTCTGGTCATGGAGGTCGCTCGTACCTCCTTGAGCCATGCGGCTGCCCCCCATTTTCTGTGGCCGTTTGCAGTCCGATACGCTGCGCATCAGCTCAACCTCTGACCCCGTGTCTCCTTGCCGGAGACTTCTCCAACACTGCGTTGGACGGGAGAGGCTGGCGATGCGTCGCGTTTTCGGGTCTGGGGATCCCGAGCTTTTGTCCGCGACACGTCCGCGGACAAGCTCTCCCGTCGCGCTGTCCCCTGCGTCTTCCTTGGCTTTGTCCCGGACGCCCCTGGCTGGCAGTTCTACCACCCCACCTCGCGTCGTGTCCTGGCCTCTCAGGACGTCACTTTTGACGAGTCCGTCCCCTACTACCGCCTCTTCCCCTACCGCACTGCCCCGCTCCCCCCCCCGCCTCTCTTCCTCGCTCCAGGTGCTGAGGTACCAGACCCCCTCCCCCCTCAGGGTGCCGCTCCCTCAGGTGTGTCCCAGGTAGACCCGGGTGAGCCTGTCGAGGTAGCTGTTGACTCTCGTCCTACTAGGGGTGCTGAGCCTGGGGGTGCTGCGTCTAGGGGTGCTGAGCCTGGGGGTGCTGCGTCTGGGGGTGCTGAGCCTGGGAGTGCTGAGTCTGGGGGTGCGGAGCCTGGGGGTGCTGAGTCTGGAGGTGCGGAGCCTGGGGGTGCGGAGTCTGGAGGTGCTGAGCCTGGGGGTGCTGAGTCTGGGGGTACTGAGCCTGGGGGTGCTGAGCCTGAGCGTGCTACACCTGGAGGAGCCCTCTCCTCCCAGCAGCTGCAGGAGAGGTACCTCGAGTACTGCCGCCTCCGGAGAGGTGCTACTGGAGCTCGTCCCGGTACTTCCCCTCCTACCCAGGAGCTCCCCCCCATTCAGCAGATCCGCGAGTGGTACACACGGCGCTGCAGTCTTCGGAGTGGTGCTCCTGGTGCTGCGGACCCTGGGGGTGGCGCTGCTGCTGGTGCTGAGGACCCGGACGTTGGAGCTGCTGCTGGAGCTGAGGACCCGGGCGGTGGCGCTGCTGCTAGTGCTGAGGACCCGGACGGTGGAGCTGCTGCTGGTGCTGAGGACTCGGACGGTGGAGCTGCTGCTGGAGCTGAGGACCCGAGCGGTGGCGCTGCTGCTGCTGCTGAGGACCCGGGCGTTGGAGCTGCTACTGGTGCTGAGGACCCGGCCGGTGGAGCTGCTGCTGGTGCTGTGGACCCGGCCGCTGGAGTCTCCTCTGCTTCTGGAGACGCTGCGCGGCCGCGACCGTACTTCGTACCGCTCCTTCAGCAGGTTCTTGGGCAGGCTCCTCCTCCTTGTCCTCCTCCCTCCGTAGAGTGTCCTCCGCCTGTCCAGCCGCAGTCACAGTTACCGCCTACCTCGCCTCTCCCTGCTCCCTCTCCTTACACTGGTCCCACAGGAGGTCTTACAGAGCGTCGTGAGCCTGAGTCTCGTCCTGCGTCGCCTGTTCGTCCTGCTCGCACTGGTAGTCGTGTCCGTCGTGAGCGTCCTCCTCCTGTCCCAGGCACTCACTACATGACTCTGCGTCCCTCTACTGCTCCTCAGCGTGTCCCTCTACCGTCTCCTCCTGCGTCCTCTTTGCCTCACGTTCCGGACCCTGAGTCTGACCGGTATCATGCTGAGCACCCTACTGTCACGCGTCTCCTTGCTACTGTTGTCACTGACCCTGCCTTTGAGTCCTCGGCTGCGTCTGCTCTGGTCGCTGAGTTGGTTGACTTTGCTGCTACCTGTCGTCTAGACTACGCTGCTAGCCTGGTTGCTGAGTCTGAGTCTGTCTGTCCTCCGTCCGTCGGGGTGAGTGTGCTCTTGGCACGGACGTCCTTGAGGACAGACAGGAGGAGTTCCAGTGTCTTTCTGTTGCTTTGCCCCGTCTCGTGTCCTTGCTAGTTGCCCCTGAGGGAGACCCGGATGCACCAGACATCCCGACCCCGCGCTCTTACGCTGAGGCGATGGCGGGTCCCTACTCCTCTCAGTGGCAGACAGCCATGGACGCCGAGATGGCTTCCTGGAAGTCCACACGCACCTACGTCGACGAGGTTCCCCCTCCTGGGGCGAACATCGTCAGTGGCATGTGGATTTTCAGGGTGAAGCGGCCGCCGGGTTCTCCGCCTGTCTTCAAGGCGCGTTACGTGGCTCGAGGCTTCAGTCAGCGAGAGGGAGTTGACTTCTTCCAGACCTTCTCCCCCACCCCGAAGATGACTACTCTTCGGGTGCTGCTGCACATAGCCGCTCAGCGCGACTACGAGCTTCACTCACTTGACTTCAGCACTGCTTTCTTGCAGGGCAGCCTGCACGAGGAGATCTGGCTGCGCCGCCCACCTGGCTTCACTGGGTCGTTTCCTCCTGGTACCCAGTGGAGGCTTCAGCGGCCGGTCTACGGTCTCCGCCAGGCTCCGCGTGAGTGGCACGACACACTGAGGACTACACTTGCGGCTCTTGGGTTCGCGCCTTCTACAGCTGACCCGTCGCTGTTCCTGCGCACCGACACTTCGCTGCCGCCGTTCTACATCCTCGTGTACGTCGACGACTTGGTCTTTGCCACTGCTGACACTGCAGGACTCGCCTACGTGAAGTCGGAGCTGCAGAGGAGACACACGTGCACAGACCTGGGTGAGCTGACAAGCTATCTTGGCTTGCGGATCACCCGGGACAGAGCACGGCGCACCATCACCCTGACTCAGTCACACATGGTGCAGCAGGTTCTCCAGCGCTTCCGCTTCACGTACTCTTCGCCTCAGTCCACTCCTCTGCCTACCGGTCACTCGCTCTCAGCTCTGCCTTCGGATGAGTCCGTAGAGCCGAGTGGCCCGTATCCAGAGCTTGTGGGCTGCCTCATATACCTGATGACCTGCACTCGACCTGACCTTGCATACCCTCTTAGCATCCTTGCACGCTATGTCGCTCCTGGCCGTCACAGGAAGGAGCACATGGATGCCGCTAAGAGGGTGTTGCGCTACTTGTGCAGTACGTCGGGCATGGGGCTTGTGCTTGGAGGGCGAGACCGAGTTGTTCTCACAGGGCACTCAGACGCTTCTTGGGCAGACGACCAGGCCACTCAGCGGTCGTCTCAGGGTTACACCTTCAGCCTTGGCTCTGGCTCAGTTTCTTGGCGCTCTACGCGCTCTTCTTCTGTTCTCGGCTCCAGTTGCGAGGCTGAGATCTACGCCACAGCCATGGCTGCCCAGGAGCTACGCTGGCTGACCTATCTGCTGACCGACCTCGGAGAGCGGCCTCGTTCTCCTCCAGTGCTGTACGTCGACAACAAGGCTGCCATTGCCTTGTGTGAGGAGCACAGACTGGAGCACAGAACGAAACACATCGCTCTGCGGTACTTCCTTGCTCGAGAGCTGCAGCAGCGCGGTCAGCTTTGTATTCGCTACGTGGCCACTGAGGCCAACACTGCTGATGTGTTCACCAAGGCGCTTCAGCCTCGTGACCATCAGCGCTTCTGCACTCTACTAGGCCTTGTGCCTACTGGACCTCACTTGCTTACCTCTTGACTTTGCTTGTACTGTGATCACTATATATATATATACCTGCATGTTTACTCTTGCTAGGTTGTGATCACTGTATCTCTTGCTCTGTTATAAACTTGCATGTGAACTGGTCTTGTGACCACTAGCTTGTGCTCGGAATTTGTGTGGAATCCTCGAGATCCACCCTGAGCTTGTTTGCCCTGCTTTGCCTTGACTGGTCTTGTGACCCCTAGGTCTCCCCCACTTTGCCTATGGGGGTGTGTCAAACATTATATGTGTTGGTTGTTGTTAGGCTACAGTTGGTTAGACCATATGGGGTACAGATCTCTAGGGTTTACTATTTGTACTGCCTTCCTTGTTAGTTCAGTCATTCCAGTCTGTTATTCCGACAGCTACTGCCCCTCCTACCACTGCTGACAGCACTCAGCGCTCACAGTGGCAGACTCATGACGCCCACGCTCGCTTTGCTATTCGCAACTCCCTGCCGATAGATGAGCGCGAGCACTTTGGCCAGCACAAGACTGCTAAGGAACTGTACACTGCTGTCGTTGCTCGTTACTCCTCACCTGCTTCTGCCGCACTAGGCCGCCTCTCACTCCCCTACCTGTTCCCCGACCTGGCCTCCTTTCACACAGTTGCTGACCTCATCACCCACCTCAAGACTAGTGAGGCCCGCTTCCGCGCTGCTATGCCTGACGAGTTCCTTGCTAGCAACCCCCCCCCGCTCTGGCTCACTCTCTACCACATCGTCACCCGCCTCCCTGACTCTCTCCGCGCAGTCAGGGATCACTTCCTAGCTCGCTGCCCCACTGAGCTCACCATTGCCCTCCTCGAGAAGGAACTACTTGCAGCTGAGGCGAGCATCGTCGCTGTAGGTGCCTCTCGTGGCGACCCCCGCACCCCTTTCTTTGAGGGGTGTTCCCCTTCCCCCCTTCTCCCCTCTGTAGCCTCTGCTTCTGCTGTCGACCTCCTTGGTGCTGAGAAGGTCGGGACAGCGTCTGCTCCGAGCGGCCGCCGCAGGAACAGAGGGGGCAAGGGTGGAGGTGGCGGCGGGGGAGGCGGGGGTGGAGGCGGTGGGAGTGGAGGAGGGGCTGGAGAGGCTAGTGGCGGCAGTGGGGGTGGTGACGGCAGCGGCGGGGGCGGTGGCAGGGGCGGGGGCGGCAGCGGAGGCGGAGGTGGTCGTGGCAGCGGCAGGGGAGGAGGTGGTCGAGGAGGTGGCGGCGGCGGTGGTGGTCGTGGAGGCGCTGGCAGTGGTCTGAGCCAGCAGCACACTCCGTCGCTCCAGGAGGCCCGTGAGTGGTATTCGCAGCGCCCGCGGACGGGTGGCTTTAGCTGCACGTACGTCATCCGCACTGGTGACCGCACTGGTCAGACGTGTGGGAGGCCACACCCCACGCAGCGCTGTTTCTCGCGCCTTGACGACGCTTGGCGCGCCCAGTTCCCTGATGGCGCTGAGCTGCCCCGCTGGGCTGATCTGGAGAGGAAGGGAGTTGATATCTGGGCTCTAGACTTTGATGCTATTCTCACTGCCATGTATGCGATGTTTACTAGTGGAGAGGGTGCTCAGTACTTGCGTGTTCCGCCCGACCCGGGCATTCTGACCAGTGAGGCTGCCGCTCTAGGTGCTAGTGAGACTGCCACTGCAGGTACTCGCGTGTCTGCCACCTCAGGTGATGGTGAGGCTGCCGCTCTAGGTGCTAGTGAGTCTGTCCCCCCTGGTACTGAGTCGACTGAGGCACTGCACACCTTCACCCTGGACTCAGGTGCTTCTCGCTGTTTCTTTCGTGACTGCACTGCCCTTGAGCCGCTTGCTCGGCCAGTTGCTGTCTCCCTCGCTGACCCCTCTAGGGGTCCGGTCATTGCGACCTCCTCCACTGTTCTTCCCTGTCCTGCGGTCCCGTCGGGCACACTGTCTGGTCTCCACCTCCCCTCGTTCTCTACGAACTTGGTGGCGGGTTGTGCGCTCCAGGACGCGGGTGTTCACCAGTTCACCCCTGCCTACGAGCGCGTGACACACTGCACGTGTGCTCGGACGGGCCGTCACCTGGCTACCTTCACTCGGCAGCCGGGGTCGGACCTGTACACACTGACCACTGAGTCCCCTCAGGTAGCTGCGTCCGTGTCCGCATCTGCGTCAGGTCAGCTGTCGGCCCCCTGCTCGTGTCGCTCTCTGGCGCACGACACCGTCCTCTGGCACCACCGACTTGGCCACCCGTCTGTGCAGCGCCTTCGTGCCATGCACAAACGGCACCTTGTCTCTGGTCTTCCCAGGGTTCTCCCTCCCCTCCCACCCTCGCCTGCTCCTCCCTGTCTTCCCTGTGTCGAGGGGCAGCAGCGCGCCGCTCCTCACTCCTCCTCCTTTCCCCCGACGACTGCTCCCTTGCAGACGCTCCACCTGGACGTGTGGGGCCCAGCCCGCGTCCGTGGACAGGGTCAGGAGAGGTACTTCCTGATTGTTGTTGACGACTACTCTCGCTACACCACGGTCTTCCCCTTGCGCACCAAGGGTGAGGTCCCTGCTGTCTTGATCAGCAGAGCTCGTCTCCAGCTCAGCAAGCGCTTTCGCTCGGACTTTCCTGTCCTGCGCTTGCACTCTGACAGAGGTGGTGAGTTCTCCTCCGACCTTCTGGCAGCCTACTGTGCCGAGCACGGCATTGAGCAGTCGTTCACGCTTCCGGCCTCTCCACATCAGAATGGGGTTGCTGAGCACCGCATTGGCTTGGTCATGGAGGTCGCTCGTACCTCCCTGATCCATGCGGCTGCTCCCCACTTTCTGTGGCCGTTTGCGGTCCGATACGCTGCGCATCAGCTCAACCTCTGGCCCCGTGTCTCCTTGCCGAAGACTTCCCCGACACTGCGTTGGACGGGAGAGGTTGGCGATGCGTCGCGTTTTCGGGTCTGGGGATCCCGAGCTTTTGTTCGCGATACGTCCGCGGACAAGCTCTCCCGTCGCGCTGTTCCTTGTGTCTTCCTTGGCTTTGTCCCGGACGCCCCTGGTTGGCAGTTTTACCACGTCACCTCGCGCCGGGTTCTGCCCTCTCAGGACGTCACTTTTGACGAGTCCGTCCCCTACTACCGCCTCTTCCCCTACCGCACTGCCCCGCTCCCTCCCCCGCCTCTCTTCCTCGCGCCAGGTGCTGCTGTGGTAGACCCCCTCCCCCCTCAGGGTGCCGCTCCCTCAGGTGTGTCCCAGGTAGACCCGGTTGAGCCTGTCGAGGTAGCTGTTGACTCTCGTCCTACTAGGGGTGCTGAGCCTGAGCGTGAGGAGCCTGGCGGTGCTGAGTCTGGGGGTGCGGAGCCTGGGGGTGCTGAGCCTGGGGGTACTGAGCCTGGGGGTGCGGAGCCTGGGGGTGCTGAGCTTGGAGGTGCGGAGCCTGGGGGTGCTGAGCCTGGAGGTGCTGAGTCTGGGGGTGCTGAGTCTGGGGGTGCTGAGCCTGAGAGTGCTACACCTGGAGGAGCCCTCTCCTCACAGCAGCTGCAGGAGAGGTACCTACAGTACTGCAGCCTCCGGAGAGGTGCTGCTGGAGCTGGCACCAGTGCTTCCCCTCCTACCCGGGAGCTCCCCTCCCTTCAGCAGATCCGAGAGTGGTACACGCGGCGCTGCAGTCTTCGGAGTGGCGCTCCTGGTGCTGCGGACCCTGGAGTTGGAGCTGCTGCTGGTGCTGAGGACCCGGGCGGTGGAGCTGCTGCTGGTGCTGAGGACTCTGGAGTTGGAGCTGCTGCTGGTGCTGAGGATCCGGACGTTGGAGCTGCTGCTGGTGCTGAGGACCCGGGCGTTGGAGCTGCTGCTGGTACTGAGGACCCGGCCGTTGGAGTTGCTACTGGTGCTGAGGACCCGGGCGTTGGCGCTGCTGCTGGTGCTGCGGACCCTGGAGTTGGAGCTACTGCTGGAGCTGAGGACCCGGGCGTTGGAGCTGCTGCTGGTACTGAGGACCCTGACGCTGGTGTCTCTACTGGTTCTGGAGACGCTGCGCGGCCGCGACCGTACTTCGTACCACTCCTTCAGCAGGTTCTTGGTCAGACTCCTCCTCCTTGTCCTCCTTCCTCCTTAGAGTGTCCTCCGCCTGTCCCGTCGCAGTCACAGTTACCGCCTGCCTCGCCTCTTCCTGGTCCCTCTCCTTACACTGGTCCCACAGGAGGTCTTACCGAGCGTCGTGAGCCTGAGTCTCGTCCTGCGTCGCCTGTTCGCACTGCTCGCACTGGTCGTCGTGTCCCACGTGAGCGTCCCCCTCCTGTCCCTGGCACTCACTACATGACTCTGCGTCCCTCCACTGCTCCTCAGCGTGTCCCACTGCCGTCTCCTCCTGCGTCCTCTCTACCTACTCTTCCTGACCCGGAGTCTGACTCCCGTCGTGCTGCCAGTCCCACTGTTACACATCTCCTCGCCACTGTTGTCACTGACCCTACCTTTAAGTCCTCTGCTGCATCTGCTCTGGTCGCTGAGTTGGTTGACTTTGCTGCCCGGTGTCGTCTAGACTACGTTGCTAGCCTTGTTGCTGAGTCTAAGTCTGTCTGTCCTCCGTCCGTCGGGGGTGAGTGTGCTCTTGGCACGGACGTCCTTGAGGACAGACAGGAGGAGTTCCAGTGCTTTGCTACTGCTTTGCCCCATCTCGTGTCCATGCTAGTTGCCCCTGAGGGAGACCCGGATGCACCAGACATCCCGACCCCGCGCTCTTACGCAGAGGCGATGGCGGGTCCCTACTCCTCTCACTGGCAGACAGCCATGGACGCAGAGATGGCTTCCTGGAAGTCCACAGGCACCTACGTCGACGAGGTTCCCCCACCTGGGGCGAACATCGTCAGTGGCATGTGGATCTTCAGGGTGAAGCGGCCGCCGGGTTCTCCTCCTGTCTTCAAGGCGCGCTACGTTGCTCGAGGCTTCAGTCAGCGAGAGGGAGTAGACTTCTTCCAGACCTTCTCCCCCACCCCGAAGTTGACCACTCTTCGGGTGCTGCTGCACATAGCCGCTCAGCGCGACTACGAGCTTCACTCACTTGACTTCAGCACTGCTTTCTTGCAGGGCAGCCTGCACGAGGAGATCTGGCTGCGCCGCCCTCCTGGCTTCACTGGGTCGTTTCCTCCTGGTACCAAGTGGAGGCTTCAGCGGCCGGTCTACGGTCTCCGCCAGGCGCCACGTGAGTGGCACGACACACTGAGGACGACACTTGCGGCTCTTGGGTTCGCTCCCTCTACTGCTGACCCGTCGCTGTTTCTACGCACCGACACCTCGCTGCCGCCGTTCTACATCCTCGTGTACGTCGACGACTTGGTCTTTGCCACTTCTGACACTGAGGCACTCGCCCACGTGAAGTCGGAGCTGCAGAAGAGAGACACGTGCACAGACCTGGGTGAACTGACAAGCTATCTTGGCTTGCGGATCACCCGGGACAGAGCACGGCGCACCATCACCTTGACTCAGTCACACATGGTGCAGCAGATCCTTCAGCGCTCTCGCTTCACGTACTCCTCGCCACAGTCCACTCCTCTGCCTACCGGTCACTCGCTCTCAGCTCTGCCTTCGGATGAGTCCGTAGAGCCGAGTGGCCCGTATCCAGAGCTTGTGGGTTGCCTCATGTACCTGATGACCTGCACTCGACCTGACCTTGCATACCCTCTTAGCATCCTTGCACGCTATGTCGCTCCTGGCCGTCACAGGAAGGAGCACATGGATGCCGCTAAGAGGGTGTTGCGCTACTTGTGCAGTACGTCGGGCATGGGGCTAGTGCTTGGAGGGCGAGACCGAGTTGTACTTACTGGACACTCTGACGCTTCTTGGGCAGACGACCAGGCTACTCAGCGGTCGTCTCAAGGTTACACCTTCAGTCTTGGCTCTGGCTCAGTTTCTTGGCGTTCTACACGCTCTTCTTCTGTTCTCAGCTCCAGCTGTGAGGCTGAGATCTACGCCACAGCCATGGCTGCCCAGGAGCTACGCTGGCTGACCTACCTGCTGACCGACTTGGGAGAGCAGCCTCGTTCTCCTCCAGTGCTGTACGTCGACAACAAGGCTGCCATTGCCTTGTGTGAGGAGCACAGACTGGAGCACAGAACGAAGCACATCGCCCTGCGGTACTTCCTTGCTCGAGAGCTGCAGCAGCGCGGTCAGCTTCGTCTGCGTTACGTGGCCACTGAGGCCAACACTGCTGATGTGTTCACCAAGGCGCTTCAGCCTTGTGACCATCAGCGCTTCTGTACTCTTCTAGGCCTTGTGCCTGCTGGTCCTCACTTGCTTACTTCTTGACTCTGTTTGTACTGTGATCTATATATATATACATATATACCTGCATGTTTACACTTGCTAGGTTGTTATCACTGTATCTCTTGCTATATTATCAAACTGCATGTGAACTGGTCTTGTGACCACTTACTTGTGCTCGGAATTAGTGTGGTATCCTTGAGATCCACCCTGAGCTTGTGTTGCTTTGCTTTGACTGGTCTTGTGACCCCTTGCTCTCCCCCACTTCGCCTATGGGGGTGTGTCAAACATTATACATGTTATATTTGTGTAGGCTATAGTGGGTTAGTCTATAGGGGGGTCACAACTCTAGGGTTTCCTATTTGTACTCTCATTCCTTTCTAGTCCAACAACACTTGTTCATTCTAACAGGCGCCAAACGCGCTGGCGCCTAGCGCGCTGGCGCCATGCGCGCTGGCGCCATGCGCGCTGGCGCCATGCGCGCTGGCGCCTAACGCGCTGGCGCCATGCGCGCTGGCGCCATGCGCGCTGGCGCCTAACGCGCTAGCACCTTGCGCGCTGGCGACTAACGCGGTAGCGCCATGTGCGCTGGCGCCTAATGCGCTGGCACGTAGCGCGCTGGCGCCTAGCGCGCTGGCGCCTAGCGCGCTGGCGCCTAACGCGGTGGCGCCTAACGCGCTGGCGCCAAACGCGCTGGCGCCTAGCGCGCTGGCGCCTAGCGCGCTGGCGCCATGTGCGCTGGCGCCATGTGCGCTGGCGCCTAACGCGCTGGCGCCATGCACACTGGCGCCATGCGCGCTGGCGCCATGCGCGCTAACGCCAAACGCGCTGGCGCCAAACGCGCGGGCGCCTAGCGCGCTGGCGCCATGCGCGCTGGCTCCATGTGCTCTGGCGCCATGTGTACTGGCGCCTAACGCGCTGGCGCCATGCGCGCTGGCGCCTAATGCGCTGGCGACATGTGTGGACTTGGTGCCAAAAATTGTCTGCTACCATTTTTGCTCTCCTTCCTTTCTGCTGCAGGTGATGCATTCCGTGCATGCTGATGTGGTTTTCGTGTTGCCTTGGATTCGAGTTTAAAGCCATGTGTGTGAGACGTCAAATTGGGTTTGCCTTTAATATTTATATTTTATCAATTTACTGGACTGTTAATAACAACCCTTTCAATCATGCTTCACTATTTCTACCCTAGTGCGCTGGCACCTTGCTGCGGTGCGCTGGCGCCTTGCTGCAATGCGCTGGCGCCTTAGATAACTAGCATTTTTTTGTCAGAATGTTATATTCTCTAGCCTGCAGTGGGGTACTCAATAGTGAGTACGGCCCAGTTAGGGTTTGCTATTTGTATCTCAACTGCTGCTAGTGAAACCCCTCTTTCTGCTTCTAAACTTTCTACTCATTATTCTTGACATGCTATCAGAGCAGGTCGACCCCCTTGGGTCGATCCTGTGGGTGGGCCCACCACCTAATGCTTCCGCTGCTGTTCTACTTGTCGCGCGCCTCGGTCGCGCGACGCCTCCTTCCTGCCGAAATTTTTTTAGGGTTTTCATCCCGTCGTGCGCTCGGGGCGCGCGGCGGTTTTCTGCCCGCCGTGCGCCCCGAGGCGCGCGGCGGTTTCCTACCGTGGGGGACCCCCGCGCGCCCCCGCCCTGTCCGTCGCGGCGCCCTGGGGGACCCGCGCGCAGCCCCAGCTGCCCCGTCGGCAGTCGCGTCGCCCCGCCACCCCGTCACTCCGCCCTGGGGAGCCGCGCGCGACCCCTCGCTGCCCCGTCGACGGTCGCGTCGCCCCGCGGGACCCGCGCGCGATCCCCGTCGACCCTCGCGTCGCCCCCCGGAGACCCGCGAGCCGCCCCTGGAGCCGTGCGCGACCCCCCCCCCTGCCCCGTCGCGGCGCCCTGGGGGGCTGCGCGCGGCCCCTCGCTGCCCCATGGTGGCGCCCTGGGGGCCGCGCGCCTTCCCCCTCGCCGTCTCCCGCGCTCCTACCCCGTTCCGCCCGTTTTAGGGTTTGGGGGTGGGGAGTGTGTGTCAAGCTATATATGCATGTTTGTTTTATCTAGGCTGTAGTGGGGTAGCACTAGGGGGTACAGAAATTCTCTCGACATTCTCTCTTGTACCCCCCCCTTGACCTAATCCAATCACTTCTTCCTAGTCTAGGATTCTAAGATGGTATCTAGAGCTTTAGGTCTTAGGACCTAAGATTTGGGCCCACCGGTTACAGTGTTACCCCACCTACTCCTTCTTATCCTTGCCTGCTACCCGCGCGCGCCTCGGCTGAGCCTATAGCCCTTTTTTTTTTTTTTTTTTAGCGCGCGCTACTGCTGCCACCCGCGTCCCGCTCTCCTAGACGCCCGCGCAGCCCGCCCTGAGCCCGCGCAGCCCGCCCTGAGCCTGCGCAGCCCGCACGCGGCCTGCAGCTGCCCCGCGCACCGCCCGCGCAGCCCGCGTCGAGCCCGCGCAGCCCGCGCCGAGCCGCGCGCAGCCCACGCGCAGCCTGCAGAGCCCGCGCGTGGCTCGCGCACTGCCCGAGCAGCCTGCGCCGCGCTGTTCTATCCCGCGTGCAGCTCGCAGCCGCGCGTGCCCTGCCCTGCCTGTGCCCTGCCTTGAGCGCCTACCTGCCTTAAGAACTGCCTTACCCTCAAGACTTTGCCTGCTGCTTGAGCCTGCTGCCTGAGCTTGCCTGCTGCCTGCTGCCTGAGCTTGCCTGCTGCCTGCACCTGAGCCTGAGCCTGAGCCTGTGCCTGCTGCATTTACCCGCCCTGTGACCATGGCAACCATCTCTGTTCTCGAGTTTGAGCCTGACGGTAGTCCTGTTCAGTTTGACACCTGGCTCAGTGACCTGCAGCTTTACCTTTTGACCAATACCAAGGACGGAGCCTCCCTGCTAGACTATGTCAATGGCACTGCCCCTGCTCCCGCTGCTACTGCTCCCGCCTCAGACCGCGCTGAATGGCAGACCCGTGATGCCCTTGCCCGCCTAGCTATTCGCAACCACCTGCCTATCTCCGAGCGCGCACACTTCAACCAGCTTAAGACTGCTAAGGAACTGTTTGACGCTGTAGTTGCCCGCTATTCCGCCCCAGCCACTGCCGCCGTTGGTAGCCTCATCCTACCCTACCTTTTCCCCGACCTCGCCTCGTTTTCCACTGCTGCAGACCTCATCTCTCACCTCCGCACTAGTGACGCTCGCTTTCGTGCCGCTCTCTCTGACGAGTTCCTCGCCGAGAACAAACCCCCCCTGTACTTTACCCTCTACATCCTAGTCACCCGCCTTCCCGACACGCTCCGTTCCGTTAGGGACTATTTCCTCGCTAAAGATCCTCCCACCATCACCCTAGATGACTTCGAGCAGCAGCTAGTTGCAGCTGAGAAGAACATTCTTGCTGTGAATGCTGCTCGTGGCACTCCCCGCACTCCCCTCTTTGAGGGATGCTCCCCCTCCCCTCTTACCCCCTCCTATGCCTCTGCTGCTGCTGCTGTTGACCTTCTCGGCGCTGAGAAGGTCCACGCCGCTTCTACTCTTGGTGGGAAGCGCGGCGGAGGCAAGGGGGGCAAAGGGGGCAGGGGTGGCGGAGGTGGCGGCGGTGGGGGCGGTGGTGGAGGTGGTGGGGGTGGCCGTGGGGGTGGCGGAGGAGGTGGGGGTGGCCGTGGGGGTGGAGGTGATGGGTGGGGTGGTGGCAGGACCGGGGGCGGTGGAGGCGGCAGCGGAGGTGGTGGGGGAGGAGGCAGCGGCAGTGGTGGAAGTGGGGGTGGGGGTGGATATGGCCAGAAGGGTGGCGCTGGTGGCGGCCAGCAGCAGCAGCAGCAGCAGCAGCAGCAGCCGCAGCAGCAGCAGCAGCAGCAGCAGCAGCGTCCGCCTCCCACCTCCCAGCAGCTCCATGACTGGTATGCTGGGCGTGGGGCGTCTAGGGGCTCTGACCGCTGCCCCTATGTCATTCGCACAGGTCCCCGCCAGGGTCGCACCTGCGACGGTTTTCACACTGAGTTCCGCTGCTTCGCTAGGCTTAGTGACGCCTGGCGCGCAAAGTATCCTGATGCTACTGAGTTCCCCAACTGGGCAGATCTGCTTAGGCGTGGTGTTCCTATCTTTGATCTAGACTATGATGCTATTCTTGCTGCTATGTATGCATTGACTGTTAGTGCTGAGGGTGACTGTTACTTGTGTGTGCCGCCTGACCCAGGTATAGAGACTGCAGCCCTAGGTGCTAGTGAGTCTGTGCTCCCTGGTACTGCGTCCGCTCAGGCTTTGCACACGTTCACACTTGACTCTGGTGCTTCGCGCTGTTTCTTTCGTGACAGCACCACTGTCACCCCTCTCCCTGCACCTGTTCCTGTCTCACTGGCTGACCCCTCTGGGGGTCCAGTGCTTGCACGGGCCGCGACTGTGCTTCCGTGCCCAGCGGTCCCGTCTGGTGAGCTGTCTGGTCTCCATGTTCCCTCGTTCTCTACGAACCTGGTGAGCAACGCCGTCCTTCAGGATCACTGGGTTGACACCTGGACTCCTGGAGGACAGCGTGTGGCGATCTGTACATGCTCCAAGACCGGCCGCCACCTGGCCACGTTCACACGTGAGCCAGGGTCTAGTCTGTACACCCTCACCACTGTTTCACGCTCCACTCCTTTGTCTCCACAGCTGTACGCGTCTGCTCAGGTTGCTACCCAGTGTGAGTGCCGCCGCCTGTCCCACGACACTCTCCTGTGGCACCACCGCCTTGGTCACCCCTCCCTGCCTCGCCTTCGTAGCATGCACTCTCGTTGCCTGGTCTCTGGCCTTCCCAGGTCTCTCCCTGCCCTCCCTCCCTCGCCTGCGCCGCCCTGCATTCCCTGCGTCGAGGGGCGGCAGCGCGCCGCTCCTCACTCCTCCTCGTTTCCTCCCACAGAGGCTCCACTGCAGACTCTCCACCTGGACGTGTGGGGCCCGGCCCGCGTCCAGGGACAGGGCCGTGAGCGGTACTTCCTGCTGGTAGTTGACGACTACACGCGCTACACCACAGTCTTCCCCTTGCGCAGCAAGGGGGACGTCCCTGCTGTTTTGATCCCCTGGATCCGCGCTGCTCGTCTCCAGCTCCGCGAGCGGTTCCAGTCGGACTTTCCTGTCTTGCGTCTGCACTCTGATAGAGGTGGTGAGTTCTCCTCCGACCTCCTGCGAGCCTTCTGTGCGGAGCACGGCATCACCCAGTCGTTCACGCTTCCGGCCTCTCCACAGCAGAATGGGGTTACTGAGCGCCGCATTGGCTTAGTCATGGAGGTCGCTCGTACCTCCATGATCCATGCGGCGGCTCCCCATTTTCTGTGGCCGTTTGCTGTCCGGTACGCAGCGCATCAGCTCAACCTCTGGCCCCGTGTCTCCTTGCCGGAGACCTTGCCCACACTGCTGTGGACGGGGAAGGTTGGTGATGCGTCGCGTTTCCGGGTCTGGGGTGCTCGTGCGTTTGTCCGCGATACTACTGCGGACAAGCTCTCCGCTCGTGCCATTCCCTGTGTTTTCCTTGGCTTTGTTCCTGACGCGCCTGGCTGGCAGTTCTACGAGCCCACCTCGCGCCGTGTCTTTGCGTCTCAGGACGTCACCTTTGACGAGTCCGTTCCCTTCTACCGTCTCTTTCCCTACTGTGCTTCTCCTCGCACTCCCCCGCCGCTCTTCCTCGCTCCAGGTTCCTCGCACCCCCTCCCCGCACCAGGTCCTGCTCCCTCAGGTGTTTCTCAGGTAGACCCTCCCGCTCCTGCACCTGTTGAGGTCACTGGTGACTCCGGTCCTGCTGGAGGTGGTGCTGTCGTTGGGGGTACTGGGCCTGGGGGTGGGGAGCTTGGGGGTACTGAGCCTGGGGGTGCGGAGCTTACGCGTGAGGAGCCTGGAGGTGCTGCGTCTGGGAGTGCTGAGCCAGTGCGTGAGGAGCCTGGAAGTGCGGAGCCTGGGGGTACTGTGCCTGCGTGTGAGGAGTCTGGAGGTGCGGAGCCTGGAGGTGCGGAGCCTGGAGGTGCGGAGCCTGGACGTGCGGAGCCTGGAGGTGCGGAGCCTACGTGTGAGGGTTCTGGGGGTGCTGAGTCTGGGGGTGCTGAGCCTGGAGGTACTGGGTCTGAGGGTGCTG